TCTATAACGTCATATGGAAAAGGCTACTTGTTATCACAGGGTCAGTGGTGCCATTAATACTCATTGTCACGGGAAATGCCATTGTCGCAATTTCATTGCTCAAAAGTACAAGAGCATTGCGTCGCGTTCAGCACAGCGACGGAAGAATTGTGGGAGACAGGATCCAGCACTCGTCTAGAAACAATTCTAATTACAAAATGTTTCTCATCCTCTGTATCGTATTCCTTGTGACAACTGTCCCTTACGGCGTGTATTTAAACCTGCTCGACTCCAGCAAACTTGTTGATGAGCATACATTAGCAAAGTACCAGCTGTCTAGCGTAATAATGAGGTGTCTTTATTGGAGTAATTATAGCCTCAATTTTCTCCTATACTGTATGACAGGGTCTTTATTCCGGAAAGAGTTTAAGAGAATGCTCCAGACAGCACATGCTTCATTTTCTTCACTTACAACTAGAAGGACTGGTCAACCACAAAACGATGAAAACTTCTGAAATTATTGTGTTTTTTTCTATCTACAATACAATAGTTTTTGATGGAATTGTTTTCGCCTTATTTTTGATCACATACATTGGGAAGGATTTATTGTGATCATAACATGAATACGGCAAATCATATCAACAAGACATCGGACACGTATGGGATAATCATTTAAATATATATGTTATGAAAGTTTACACCTAGAAACAACTTAACATCAGGACATTTCACCAAATATGATCTTACTTTCTGTGCTAAGAGATGTGCTATGAGTAATTGACTTTGTATCAGGACATTTCACAAAATCTGATCTCAATCTTTGCACAAAAAGCTAGGAGTAAACGGCTTAACATCGGGATATTTCACAAAATCTGGTTTTACCTTTTTCTATATACAGACTAAGAGTTAATGACTTTTAATCAGGATATTTCACAAAATCTGGTCTAATTAGAGACTAGGAGAAAACGAATTAACATGAGGACAACGTCCCACTGTATAAATTATGAGCTTCTAAATTAATATGAAAGACTGATGTTTATTTTTCGTTCTTCCTCAGGGGTTGGGAGTTGAAAACACATCTTACAGTTCATAATGTTCACACGGAAAACATGCATAAATATAATGGTAAAAACGATATAAAATTTCTTGGAAAATGTGAAGTTGAGTGGTACGGCAGCTTTAAGGTGTAGATTACGCGCTTAAATATAGCGGAATATATTCTGAAGAAAAAAATCAAACTGAATGTAACATTTTACGTGACGTCTTGAAAGTAACGCTGTTACAAGTTGTATTTTGTGTCATATCCGAATATCGTTTATTTTTACATTGTGATAATTTTGTATCATTAAGTATACATCTATGTGTAAAGTAAATCATACTAGAACGTCAAATGACAAGAAGGATGTTAGTATAAACTAACCAAGTGCACCCGTTGAAAAATGGTTTAGAACCACTTGCCATTCAACAATATTACTGATGCTTGGCAAATACCCACTTTACTTTGGATTCGTTCATGTGAGGAAGCTAACAACATTGCACAAGAAACGTCGGTGGTTCTATCTCATTATGAAAAAGAAAAAAAAAAGTTCTATCTCATAACGCCGAAACTTTACCCCTAAAATTACAATGGACTTTTTTCCCATGGCATTACCTGCTAAGAAGTTAATAAGATTGGGCAGAAAATTGCTCTGCAGTTTTCAGTGTTATTATTGTGGCCCCTATGAGATTGATATTAAAATGATTTAGTTCTGAAACAGAATCGTTCATGCACAAGACAAATAAAGATGTTGCATCTTTCTCACTTTCATAACCAAAACAAAAATTGTCTTTTATGATTCTGCTCTTAAGGGATGCCATTATGTAATCCTTGCATTTGTCTAAACTTGGATCGTGGATTTTAGTACCGACTAGCAACAAAGCACGTCCGTAGTCAGCTTGGCAATTAAAATTGCATCATCTCATTTTCTATCGACATCCGTAAACAACAAAAACAAAAAATATATATATAAATCTGCTTTTGTGTTTGTCTGTCTGTCTGTCTGTTTGTACTTACTTATTTCTAATTTAGAAATGATGTGGATTATGTTTCTTTTCAATAAAATATAAATACATGTACTTGAAAATACATTCTCATTTTCGCCTTTAAGTTTTGAAATTATCTTAATATTCATTCTCTTAGTGAGATATATACCATATCTTATGTCAGATTTGTCATCTTAGGTTCGTCCGACTTTATCAATTGTCTTCAGACAATGTGTTTTATATATTGCAATACCTTAAATTTAAATGTATTGAACCAGAACAAGAGTTAATATCTCACTCATCCATGTACTTTGTCAAATATTACTGAAATATAAGGATTTCCTGATAAAGCTATTTTAGTTATGCAAACCGGTACAGATAGGCATTAGAAGAAGTATTAAATATTGTTGACCGTGGAAGTAAAACAAATTGTTGAATTTTGTTAGAATAGAATATTTGCAGTAATTTGAAACAAGTAAACTGGAAATTATAGACTAAGTTTTTAAAAAGCAAGATTGTTTTGCCAGTTAACCTGCAGGGTATATAGACAACGCTGTGTTTGTTCTCTCGAAAGCGTGAAAATTACCTACTCAGGTACCTACTATTGGTTTCCAGCGGTTAAAATTCGAAAACGAATCGCTGTCAAAATTGTAAAAGCTGGCCGATGATTGGCTGTTTGAAAAATCACGAGAAGGTAATAACATACAAGTGATCGTGTAGCGTTATTTAGGAGCTGATTTTAATCAGATTGCCAGGAACACTATTTTTTTTCAGACAAGACAAAAGAAAAAGACAATAGACTAGCTAGTTTAAAAGCAAATTTATATGATCTGTGTCATTAAAAGACGAATCTAACCACTATATACCTTTGAAAATCTTCCATTTTATTCGGCGTATGGTCTAGTTTTCAAAACAAAAGAACACACAAAGAAATAACTATATCACTAAAGATTTAACTGATAGATGGCGTAAACGTTTCATGTTTCAACTAACAAAGCTTTTATAAATTACACGCCTGATTTATTTACTATGATATTTAGGTTGTTGACATAAATGGAGAAATAAGGTCTTTTCTTAAACATCAAATTGGATCCAGCTGTGCGTTTTTCCGCTGATATATAATATATTTACTTGATCAATGAGCAAGTCCAATGAATGATCACGATCAAATCAGCCCGAAAATACATGTTTCCCGAATATGTTTTCGAAGTTTAAACAGTCCTTCGTAATTCATGCTGTGACAGTTATAAAAATGGCTTTGTTGATTTTGAGATGAATTCCAAATTTTAATTAACTTTAATAACGTCAGTAAGTTACATGAATAAGTCTTCCGGGTTTGAATTAAATGCACATAGATTCGGCAGTTATTAGTTATGCAATTCTCCGAGAAACATATATATGAATGGCAAAGTTCATAACGTTGAGAACCCTGCTTTATTTCAATAGGATATTGGCGTCAGATTATTGACTTCATTGCAGTGAAAAAAGAATCGAATTTTTATGTTCAATGCATCATTTGTTTTGAACGTTTACATTGCTGAAGCTACTTTTCAGACAAACATGAACATATTACTTCATTCATCATAATAACTGAAATCATTTCTTATGTTTTGTTCAATATTCATATATTTTAGGGAAAAATATAAAAGTCTATTGCCTGAAATAATGAACAATACAGGTCAATATTATGATGAGTGACTACCAGGGTCGGTCCATTCTGTTTTACCTAGGGGCATGATTAATAACACTTTAACAAAATGAAAACCAATAAGAAAACACTTAATTAAAGAATTAGCTGATCTAAACAGTGCACATCAAAGAATAGATAAAATTAGTAATAATAATAATTAAAATACCAATAATAATGATGAAAAAGATGATAGATAGATAGATAATTTAAAAAGATGTACTAGAAAGAATATCCATGACACAAAATGAATTATAAAATGTATATGAAAATAAAAAAATGGTTTATTAATAAGATCAAAGGCTATCCATGTTGAAGGAAATGAAAAAAAACAACAACAAAAAACTCAAAATATTTTGCTATTAATTAATCTCAGCTATCCTAAAGAGCCTTAAAGAAAACATTCCAATGCAATGAAAAGCTAATAAAAGTCATTAATAAATTTGGATGTATATTTGGTCTCATACTAATTTTTTTGAGAATATATTAAACCCTTAGGTGGTAATTATATCTTTGCATGATGTTTCAAGAATCTGTAAAACAAATATATTTCTAAGAGATATCTTAGTTACATAGTTTTCTGTAACATAAATAGAAATGAAGTTAGAAAACATATCATATGGAACAATACTGAGATAAATGTACAACAAAATGCAATTTACTGGAAAAAAAGAGCACGAAAAGGGAATATATTATATAGATTAACTCTTTGACTTTCGTACAAAGGCCTTTTATAAATTTGAAATAGCAAAACAAATTATAGGTCTTGACACACAAGATTATGTAAAATATCATCAATTAATCTCTGCTTTCCCCAAAGCCTTAAAGAAAACATTTCAATACATTGAAAAACTAAAAAAAGTCATTAATGAATTTGGAAATATATCTCGTCTCATACTAAATACATCAAAATTAGTTGTCTTGAAAGTTGGATACCTCAGAAGGATAAATCTAAAATATGCAGGAAATATGAATTTCAGTTGGACATCAAAACATGTGAAAACGCTTGGCATAACTTTCTATACAGACTCCAAAATGAATATGCTGAACTAAGATCCTAAACTACAAGAACTTAAAACATGTTTAAAGCAGTGACAACACCGTAAATTAACATTGATGGGAAAAGTCACAGAAATTAAGATATTTGCATTGCCAAAACTAATTTATCCATTTACAGTTCTTGAAAACCCACTTGACCATACTATTAAAGATATAACAACAACAATTTGTTATGGGATGGTTAAAAGAGAAAATCAAGGGTAAATCTATTACAAACAACTACGATTTGTATTTCCTTTTTCATTTCTCTCTCTCTCTCTCTCTCTCTCTCTCTCTCTCTCTCTCTCTCTCTCTCATACTTATAATGCACTTCATAGTACAAAAAAAATGTAAATAATATCGGTTAAACACAAGTTGTTTTAACTCGGTTTTGAATTTAAACTAAATATATGCAATCTGCGTATTTTTTAAGTGTCCATATTTCTTGAAAAGTGTTTTGTATTGTTTCATTAAATTCAAACACTGGCTAGGCCCGTTCGTAAAAAATGTTTATTATTTGCATCTATTTCACAAATAATGTCATCTACGCAGCATCTTTGGTTAATTGATTGATGGAAACACCATTTGTGTACTTTTTTGTACAAGAGCAACCAAATTATTTATTGACTGATCATTTTTGTACTTCCATGGTTTGATTACTCGGTAGACGGGATTGTTCTCCTGGTTTCCTTCTATTTGGACTGGTACCAATCTACCTTTCTTTTCACATAAAGATTCCAGTAACTGCCCTTCACATAGATACTGTCTAATCCCGTCTTTTTTCAGATTGATGGTTACAATGACAAACACGAACATGTATTTGTCAAAGGCATCATTTAAACTTGAGAAAACTGTCTGTCCAATTCCAACCTCGGATTCAAGATCCATTTTGATGTTCCACTTTTCTACACCTGTTTTGATATTTTGTGCAAGCTCAGAATCCCCCTCTCCGTGTATCATTAAAATATCCTTTTCAAAGCAAAGTCTCGTAAGTTCTGGAAAAAATGTGTAATATCTAATTTTTAGCAGAGTGTATTGAAACTCATTTTAAATACCTACAACTAGCTTTCAAGGTACCTACAAATTAGTCAGGGAAAAAAGGATTTGTCAAAATCTATATAACATAAAGGTGCATCAGTTTAAAGATGAAAATAGAAGATAAGACGATTGCAAATGTTAAAAATAAAATTGTCAATGAAGTTATTTAATGTTAAGTGATACTAGCCTTTTTTTTTTAGAAAATATCAAGGGTGGGGCTAAATTGGATTGACAATGGAGGCTTTTTCAGTACCATGTATTTCTATGAAAGAAAAAATTAAGATAGTGCTGGTTACGAGACTAGAATATGGGGAAATTTAAGTTTCTGAAAGGAACAAGATGATTGTGATTAACAAATACTTGTTTATGTTAAATTTTGTATACAAATTTTAGTAAATGATATACCCCCTATGTATAAACCGTGGTAATATTACGAACGTGTGATTATTACGCGACACCGGGTCTCCGAAACGCCATGTTTTGTTGATATGCTACCGTTAATTAAACCTCGCACCAAATCGAACGATCAAATGGAAAAAGCAAAAATCAGAAACTACTGAAAACAATAATGAAATATGATCGAGTTCTAAGTAGAAAGAGGACAGAGTTAATCATTTCCAATTAAAAACATACAAAAAGATATCGGAAAATGCCGTCCCTGTCAGAATACTTTTCTCACCGTTTGCTTTCTTTTCTAATTCCATAAGCGTGGCTTGTTCAATGTCTTGTTCAGTCTGCACAAACTTTACTACATTTGCAAAGAAATTAGCGATGCCACTGGAAATCAAAAGAAAAAAAAAAGAAAGTATAGTTATTTTTTTTAATCCTTAACCTACTGTACTTGAGAAATGGAAAAGTCCAGCTTTGAATTTGAAACAATCCATTCAAATTTCAAGGAATTTCAATACATTTGTATTCAAATATTAATCTTATTAAGTATATCCTCTTAATCAAAGGCTATCTATCCCACTTATAGTCTCTCTGAATGAAATGATTTTCAAAGTAATTTAGCTTATACTAAACCACAATTATTGAGAAAAAGACTTACTGAATACTGAAATGATGAAGACAAACTAGCAACTAAAATCTGTGGATTTTCTGTTGATTTTATAGTTAACACGAATATGAATATTTAGATGAAATTATCAAAGGATTGACTGCGTAGCAAAACAAATAGTTTTATGGATTGTGATTGTTAAACTTATATTTCTAGGTTTGTGTATCGTGTCGATTTACTAGTTATATTACATGTCTAGTTATAGTCTTGTAAGGTCTGAAATACAATGAAATAGACAAATACAGAATCCCTAAAGAAAGCCCGGCCAACACAACAAAATTAAAAATGTTGCTGGCTCGGTTTGATTGAGCCTGTTCATGAACGGTACTGGAAAGTGCAAGTTACCGTCCACGCCCCCTAGCACCGGCTTAAACAGAATTCAACATTAACACGAAAATGGTGAAATTTTTAATTTAGAAACATCCGCAGATGTGTTCATACGGCGGTTATCATGGAACCTTCAATGTGACACAGTAGTGCCATTCCATGAAAAGCGGCGTATATACATTTAAACTAAATACAGAGTTTGCAATGTGCATTCAAACATATTGGTTATATAACATGGTCAGAAATGTTTGTTAAAACGTGGTCGTGCACTTTTAAAAATGTTCTTTATTAGCCGTTTTACACATACATGTAATCAATTTGATATTAAGATTGCAACATGAATGGGGTATTTTCAGAAACGAAAAGCCCAAGTTACAATTAAAAAGCAAGATAATATATACACATGTTAATTAAGACAATGTAATAGGCCCTTGTCGGTAAACAAGTAATGTTATATATATAGTGTATCTTACAATTCTGGTTTGTAATCTGTCATCAGGTTCCTGGAAACATTGATCATCAGACTTTCAATGTTATTTTCGGCGATTTCTTCAGTGCACCCTACATCTTGCCTGAGACGATTAAAACGACCGTTGCCATTTCTAAAAATGTTTGTCAGGAGTTGGAGTATTTCGTTTTTATTCTGAAAGGAAGGTTGTAATTATAGATTTAAATGGATTAGTGTATGTTTTAAATACATGTGTAACAGTTTTACATACATAAATGATACATTGAAACATATTCATTCTCATTTTAATGAGTTGACATTGTCCACTTACTTTTATCTTTCAAAATTTGCATACTTTCTTTCAAACGTTCCATGATCTTAATATTTAAGACTCTTTTGAAAACAAAAGACTTTTTTTGATAAATCTGAAATTCATTTTTGACAATTCACTTATTTTAGCATAGATCCACTAAGCATCACTGCAAATATATAAGCTCTTGGACATGTACATTTAAACAAGATATGCGTTTTTCTGAGTCTCAACGGAATACTATAGCAAAATATCTAAGCTCAGAACATTGTAAGTTCGGAGGAGATGTGTTATTGCAGACCTGAGGACAATGTCCACAAGGTGGTCTTTTGTGATGGCCCATTGTCCGTCCGTCGTCCATCTTCCGTCCGTGCGTAAACAATTTCTTTAACCTTTTCCCTTATATAAGCGTGTTTCGACGTCTTTATGCCCCCCCCTTTTTTGAGGCCTCAAACAGTGAAACAATGCCCTATTTAAGCCCCTAACACTGTTTTTTGTTTGAGAAATGTTGGTAAAAAAAAGTGACCACTTTTTCGGCGCCGTCCCCCATCAAAATATTACATCAGGGGGTTGCCAGAAGGGGGGATGTGCCCCCTTCTGTTAGGGGGGTTTGAAGGGGGGCGGAGTCCCCCTCATCTCCAAGAAAATTTTGGACATGTGACAGGCTAAAAATGGCCTCAGGTCGATCTTAGGGTAATTAGTAACCGACGCTGAAAAGCCTTTTACTCTATCTCAATTCATTGAGAAGTTGCAGCACTTTGAAATCAGTTTTGATGGAAAAAAACAATGCAAAATAGTGATTTTTGGCAATTTTGAGACGTCCCCCCGTTGCCATGCTAACAGGAAATTTATCATTGAGCATGCTGTTACAGAGGCTATGGTGTAGTCAACATTTACGCCAAGTTTCATTAGTATTTAAGCATTTTCATAGCAGTTTGAACTTGTTACAGGAGGCGTTTCAATGAAAACTGCCTTTTTTCGCAATATGCTCATGGGGTAAAAGGTTAATAAAAAAAATAAAAAATGTCAAAAAATAACAATTTTTCACCAAATTTCGGTGTTAGGGCATGTGTTAACATGGAAAATCTAGTTTTTGTGTAATTCCAAGGTTTTTCATCATTTTTTGTTAAAAAAAAATAAAAAATGTCAAAAAATAACAATTTTTCACCAAATTTCGGTGTTAGGGCATGTGTTAACATGGAAAATCTAGTTTTTGTGTAATTCCAAGGTTTTTCATCATTTTCTGTTAATAAAAAAAAATAAAAAAAGTCAAAAAATAACAATTTTTCACCAAATTTCGGTGTTAGGGCATGTGTTAACATGGAAAATCTAGTTTTTGTGTAATTCGAAGGTTTTTCATCATTTTTTGTTAAAAAAAAAAAAAAAAAAAATGTCAAAAAATAACAATTTTTCACCAAATTTCGGTGTTAGGGCATGTGTTAACATGGAAAATCTAGTTTTTGTGTAATTCCAAGGTTTTTCATCATTTTTTGTTAAAAAAAAATAAAAAATGTCAAAAAATAACAATTTTTCACCAAATTTCGGTGTTAGGGCATGTGTTAACATGGAAAATCTAGTTTTTGTGTAATTCCAAGGTTTTTCATCATTTTTTGTTAACCTTTTCCCTTATATAAGCGTGTTTCGACGTCTTTATGCCCCCCCCCCTTTTGAGGCCTCAAACAGTGAAACAATGCCCTATTTAAGCCCCTAACACTGTTTTTCGTTTGAGAAATGTTGGTAAAAAAAAGTGACCACTTTTTCGGCGCCGTCGCCCATCTAAATATTACATCAGGGGGTTGCCAGAAGGGGGATGTGCCCCCTTCTTTTAGGGGGTTTGAAGGGGGGCGGAGTCCCCCTCATCTCCAAGAAAATTTTGGACATGTGACAGGCTAAAAATGGCCTCAGGTCGATCTTAGGGTAACTAGTAACCGACGCTGAAAAGCCTTTTACTCTATCTCAATTCATTGAGAAGTTGCAGCACTTTGAAATCAGTTTTGATGGAAAAAAACAATGCAAAATAGTGATTTTTGGCAATTTTGAGACGTCCCCCCGTTGCCATGCTAACAGGAAATTTATCATTGAGCATGCTGTTACAGAGGCTATGGTGTAGTCAACATTTACGCCAAGTTTCATTAGTATTTAAGCATTTTTCACAGTTTCATAGCAGTTTGAACTTGTTAAAGGAGGCTTTTCAATGAAAACTGCCATTTTTCGCAATATGCTCATGGGGTAAAAGGTTAAACAACTTCTCCTCATAAACCACTAAGCCAAATTTGTTGAAACTTTGCAGGGATGTTATTTTCATAAGGTTTTACCAAATTTGTTCTAAGAATTAAATTCCACAAAGTACTCTGGTTGACATGGCAGCCGAAAGATTTTTCAAAAAATCTTCTTGTAAACAACCAAAAGAGCTAGAGCTTAGATATTTGGCATAAAATATGTTCTAGTGAACGTCTACCAAGTTTGTTCAAATAAAAGCCGTAGAGTCAAAATTGGCCCCGCCCAGGGGTTATTTAATTTCCCTTATATATACGCAGTAAAAACTTAAAACATCTTCTTGCGAGTATCAAAAAGAGGTAGAGCTGAGATATTTTTCTAGTGTATGTCTACCAAGTGTGCTGAAACTAGAAATGTGTCCATAGGTCACAGGTGTCCCAACTCTCCAACATTTTTTCAATCTTATGTCTCTAGGTCAAATATTTTTGGGCTACATGTGGCACAATTGTAAACATAATTATCTTTTACTAATTCAAGGGCAGTAACTCTGAAAAAAAAATCCACAAAACCCAAGGTGTACAACTTCCCTGAGCAACAGTCCTGTAAAGTTTCATGACTCTAGGTCAAATACCTTTTGAGCTATTTGAGACAAAAGTTGAAAATAACAAATTTATACTAAGTCAAGGGCCATAAATCTACAGCTACTAGATAAATCAACACGAAAATACCAAGGTTCACAACTACACATGCTGATAAACATTTCTGTAAAGTGTAATGACTGTAGGTCAAATAGGTTTTGAGCTACATGCGACACAAGTTGAAAATTGCAAGCTTTTACTATGTCAGGGGCAATTACTCTACAAGTACTATAAACATCCAAACGAAAATACCCAGGTGCACAACTACACATGCTGAGCAACATTCCTGTAAAGTTTCATGACTCTAGGTCAAATACACTTTGAGCTATATGCGACACGAAAAGAGAACGAACGGATGGACGAACGGACAAGGGTAAATCTAAATCCAACCCGTATAGTGTGGACACAAGAAAATCCCTACGGTTAAAATTGACCCTGTCCCAGGGGGTAATTGATTTTTATGCCCCCGCCATGTAATGGCCGGGGCATATAGTGTTACCCTGTTCCGTCCTTCCGTCATTCCGTCCTTCCTTCATTCTGTCATTCCGTCATCATCAGTTTCCGTTCATTATCTTAGTAACGGTTGCATACATTCAACTCAAATTTGACATATGGATATGTCATGAAAAAGTACAGGCCAAGTTTGAATTTGGTCATGGTTCGATGATCTTTGGCAGAGTTATGCCCCTTTTACTTTAAAATAATATGAAATTTTCAGTTTCCGTTCATTATCTCACCAACGGTACAACACATTCAACTCAAACTTGACATATTGATTTGTCAAGAGAAAATACAGGTCAAGTTCGAATTTGGTCATGGTTCTATGATTTTTGGCAGAGTTATGCCCCTTTTACTTTGAAAATAATATGAAATTTTCAGTTTCTGTTGATTATCTCCCCAACGGTACAAAACATTCAACTCAAATTTGACATATGGTTATGTTTTTGGAATGCCCAGGCCAAGTTCGAATTTGGTCATGGTTCAATGATTTTTGGCAGAGTAATGCCCCTTTCAGTTTGAAAATAATATGAAATTTACAGTTTCTGTTCATTATCTACCCAACAGTGTTACATATTCAACTCAAATTTGACTTATGGATATGTCAAAGGAATGGGCAGGTCAAGCTGGAATTTGGTCATGGTTCGATGATTTTGGGCAGAGTTATGTCCCTTTCACTTTGAAAATAATATAAATACATCTTAGGAATAAGCACTTTAAGTTTGAATTTGGTCGTGGTTCAATGATTTTGGACAAAGTTATCTTTCCTGATGAACTTTCAGTTTCAGCACTCATATTTTTGTGGAAATGTATGTAGCCATTATTTTGGCTACAAATATGCAATATGCTATTTTCAAAAGGTTAAGACTGAATAATTTCAGTGCCTTGAACATTGTATGAAATGGTTTGTGTTAGCATTGAAAAGTTTTAAGGGCTTTGAACTTAAAATGAAAAAAATAATTTATGCAAACAAATTTGGAACTAAATATTATAACATCTGAAATTTTGGCTGCATGCGGGGGCATCCGTGGCATGATGACACATTTCTAGTTCATATATGTACTGTAAATCCAGTATTTTTCCCGATGTTTTAATTTTTGCTATTCTTCTGGGATGAAAAGGACTCCACTTTGACCTTTTGACCTATTTCTCAAGTGAGCCACCAAGGGCCTCTGGGCCCTCTTGTATATTATTATATATAATTCGTTGTAAGGAAATTGACACAGGACAAGCCGTTTGGACCCGGGGCAACGATCTTTTGTAGAGTTCCACTAGACAATGATAAGCGCTAGGACATGTTGTTTCAGAGAAGCCGATATTAAAACTTTTACTAGCACTATACTAGTGCATACTAGTAACAAGGTTATTGAAATAAATTGAGGAATCGAATTTTATCCTATTTAAATGCTAAATAATGTTCTGGTAAATGAAGTGCTAATCATAGCAAACTTACCACCTTGACCTTGGATGTACATGGGTCATAGACGCGACAATTTGCCTTAATGGGGCAGTGTGAACCTTGGAGTTAGATACATGGATCTTGGTCACATCGTCTTGATGTAGTGGACATTTATGACAAGTCATTTTAAAATTCACCAATGCGCTACAAAGACACAAATATGAGTCCTTTAAATATCTAATTTTGATAATGTGAACCTTCAAACTGTAGGTGTGACCTTGACCTTTAAGGTAGGGACATGAATCTTCAACGCAATACATCGCCTTGATGTGGCTGACATTTGTGCCAAATCATTTTAAACTCTGTTACAGTCCGGACACAAATATGTACATGTATACCTTATAACTCTAATTGTGAGAATGTGAATCTCCAAACTGTGTGACATTATCTTGACCTTTGAAGAAGGGGCATGATTCTTTAACACGATACATCGTCTTGATGTGGTAGATATTTGTGCCAAGTTATTTTAAAATCCTTTTAATGCATGACAAAGTAACAGTCCGGACACGAATGTGTATACCTTATAACAGTAATTGTGAAAATGTCAAATCTTCGAACTGGACAAAAAAGCGCGCCCTACAGGACCCGGTTTGACCAGGACTACATGCATAGGGAGGGTTTTGAGCGCCTTGACTGGTCAGCTAGATTATCCAACCTAAAGCTAAATGAGCACATGTAGAATAATCTGCAAGTAAGGATGAGAGCTCATCAGGTGAAACCTAGAAACATCCAGGATCTCGACGCCCTGTTTAATGTAAGAATAGACCTCCATCCCGCTACTCGCTACTACTATTAGAAACTTTATAGGGAGCATGAGAAGAAGGCGTTGCCAAACAGTTGTCTTTACCATTTGGCCACAAACACACGTTACTAAACTTGTAAACATAAATGAGATTGTAAAATTTAGAAAACAAGTTGCGTGTCCAAAAATGATGGATGTAGTGAGTCTTCCACTTCTCTAACATATAACTAATGCAAAATTAGTAAATTTCTCATTCAATCAAATATAATAAACTTGAAACTGACATTAACAATCATCTGTACGACGGTTATTAAACTATTGCGGAAAAGTTGGGTAGTATAATTATTTAAAGTTTACCACTTCGAATGTGCCGTCTAGCGGCTGCATAGGTATTGCCGGGCTTTTAGTCAAACTCCTTTTCAGCGCTGAAACAGTAAGAAATTATGAATTAAAAATTATTCTACTGCATTAACACGCAGGTTCAAATTTCCAAGAACATTTTTTGTTTACCGAAATTTCATTGTTTCCAAGTGTTATTTAGAGTATGTCCAGGATGGGTAAAATAATTTTTTACTTTCTTAATCGAATTTCTTTTTTTTGTAATTTCCAATCTCATTTTAATACCCTGGGAATATGGATTCTAAGAATGCAACAAAAATATGCATGCAACTACATTAAAGGCCCCTTAAGCCTGAAAAATGCATATATTTTTATTTTAAGAAGCTTTTTTTATTTTTTTGTGTTCCAAAAACATTATTTATTGAGCATTTGGCTGAGCAAAGTTTGCAAATGTTGCTTTTTGGCAATTAGTAAAAGTGATAATGTATTTTGTTTGGAAGTCAAAAAAACTGCTTTGTTTACATGTTGCTACTTTTGTGACAAATGATTTCAAAGTCAGCAATACTTTTCTCTGGTGAATAGCATCTAACATGCTCTTAATTTATTATCTACTCAAATTTGCCTTTTCTAAAGAAATATTTTTTTAACATTTCTGACACATAATATGCCTTTAAGATAATCGTTGGAAATAAATTAAAAAATTTACGGAGTACAAATAATCCACTATAAGTGCCAAAGCATAAAGTTGACGGGTACTGTGAAACAGTTTTCAACAATTTCCTGTTATGAAAATATAGTTTAACAAACTAAAGGTTAGTTTTACTATTGTTATAGGATGCTGGTTTTGCAAAACTTTCTTGAAATAAAAACTTGATAAATAATTCACTTTATATCTGAACAACCAACTATCAAGACTACTATAGTATTTGCTACAAGACCCAAGGAACTTTTTCGGTAGCTTGTTTATAACAATTATTACTTACAATGTAAATTTATTTGAGGCGTTCCACTTCACATTGCTGTGAATTTAATGGTTTTAGATCATGTTGATATGATATTTTATTTGTAGAATTGAATATATATTTAAAGATTTTAGATTATGATATTTTATATTAAGAATTTTAAAATAAATAAATAATCTTATCTAAAATCATTAAATTCACAGACTAAAAAAAATTTCTTTCTCCATTTCATAAAAAATATTACAAACATTGAATGACAAAAGCCTTTCCTAACTCCCCTTGAAGATATAATTTCTTCTATTATATTTTTGCATGTACATCCCTATAGACAATTATGGTACCGTGTTCTGGAAATAATTCTGCAGAACCTGTCTGCTTAGTTAACAGTTTAAAGAGTCCAAAATGTGAAGAAGAAAAAATGATAAGACAGTACCTGATAGTGTATCCCACAATTTATCTTTGCAAGTCATCGTAAGGCAGCCAGCAGCGAAACCCACTACAACCCCAGAAATGAAGGCTACCTTTATAGGAGAAGCTGTAAATAAAATAAATCTATATTTTAGCATACGTCACAACATAATATATGAGCCGCGTCACGACAAAACCAACATAATGGGTTTGCGACCAGCGTGGATCCAGACCAGCCTACGCATCCGCGCAGTCTGATCAGGATCCATGCTGTTCGCTATCAGTTTCTCTACTTGTAATAGAGTTGGTAAGCGAACAGCATGGATCTTGATCAGATCCTGATCGAAGTAAAACTGGTTAGACTGCACATGTTATTTTTAAGTTTTCGATTCAGATAGAAATGTTATCAATGCTTGCAAAGCAATAACAATTATTGTTTCTAGCTGAGAGAAAAAAACAACATGTAAACATGTAAACATGCAATATTGGCATTTTTATTTAAAGAATCATATAAAAACAAGATATGTTTTAAAACATGTATGCCCTCTCTCGGCAGCCAATTAGTCATGTGGTCAGTTTATTATAACTGGCTTTTGAACAAAAATCAATAGAGGTTATCTACTGGTCATGACTAGTCACTAGTTAATTGTGACCGATAAGGTTGTGTGTAGCAATTTTATGACAAAGTTATCACAAATCTTATCAAATAATATATTCAAAAATTTTATGAATTATGTAGGCCTTCTTAATGACAGCCAATTTGTTATATTACATTAGATCTTGAAATGTAAATACCAAAAACATTTTTAGTTTAATAAAAAAAATCAACTGAAGCAACTTAGTTTTTGAGTTATTGGTCAAAACCCCAAAATCAACTGGTCATGAACAAACATCATACCAAGTTTGAAGTTCCTATGCCTAAGCGTTCTTACGTTATTGACCGGAAACCGTTTTTACTTACAAGGTCAATGTGACCTTGACCTTTGACCCCTTGGCCCCAAAATCGATATGGATCATCTAATGGTCATGAACAATCAACATAACAAGATTGAAGTTCCTAGGCCTAAGCATTCTTTAGTTATTTGTCGGAAATAGTTCTACCTACAAGGTCAATGTGACCTTGACTTTTAACCCATTGACTCCAAAATAAATAGGGGTCTTATACTTGCCATGAACAAACACCATATCAAATTTAAAGTTCCTAGCCCTAAGCGTTCTTTAGTTATTGATCAAAAACCGTTTTTACCTACAAGGTCAATGTGACCTTGATCTTTACCCTTGAACCGAAAATCAATATGGGTCATTTACTGGTCATGAAAAATCATCATACCAAGTTTGAAGTTCCTAGGCCTAAGCGTTCTTTAGTTATTGTTCGGAAACCGTTTTTACCAACAATGTCAATGTGACCTTAACCTTTGACCCCTTGACCCCAAAAGGGGTCATCTATTGCTCATTAACAATCATCATACCAAGTTTAAAGTGCATAAGTTTAAGCGTCCTTTAGTTATTGGTCTGAAACCGTTTTTACCCAAAAGGTCAATGTTACCTTGACTTTTTATCCCTTTAGCCAAAAATCAATAGTGGTCATCTACTGGTTATGAACAATCATTATACCAAGTTTAAAGTTCCTAACCCTAAGCTTTCTTTAGTTATTGATCAGAAACCGTTTTTAACTAAAGGTCAATGTTACCTTGACCTTTGACCCCTTTAGCTGAAAATCAATAGGGTAATCTACTGGTCATGAAATATCATCATACCAAGTTTAAAGTTTCTAGGCCTAAGCGTTCTTTAGTTACTGATCGTTTTTACCCACAAGGACAACGTGACCTTAACCTTTGATCTCTTGACCCCAAAATCATTAGGGGTCATCTTCTGGTCATAATCATTATACCAAGTTTAAAGTTCCTAGGCCTAAGCGTCATTTAGTGACTGATCTGAAACCGTTTTTACCTAAAAGGTCAATGTTACCTTGACCTTTTACCCCTTGAGCCAAAAATCTATAGTGGCCATCTACTGGTTATGAACAATCATCATACCGAGTTTGAAGTTCCTAGGCCTAAGCGTTCTTAACTTATTTGCCTGAAATAATGCACGGAAGGGCACCTGAGGTCTTCCTCCACCAGTAAAGCTGGAACGTCGCGATATGACCTATACTGTGTCGATGTGACGTAAAACCAAAAACAAAACAAACAAATCTTAACTTATTGATCGGAAATCGTTTTTACCCACAAGATCAATGTGACCTTAACCTTTGATCCATTGACCCCAAAATCAATAGGGTTCATCTACTGGTCATGAACAATCACCATTTTAAGTTTGAAGTACCTAGGCATAAGCGTTCTTTAGTTATTGATCGGAAACAATTTGGTCTATGGACCGACGGACCGACAGACAGACAGACAAAGGCAAAGCAATATACCACCACTTCTTTGAAGGGGAGTGGGGGCATAAATATAGCATATAGGAATAGATGGGAAGTGGATAGCGAAGTGAAACGTCTGGTCAAAGCAAAATAAATTTGATAACAAAAGAAATTGAAATGATTTTTAAACTTAAAATAAATTCAAGAAAATACATTTAAATATTGGTGCGAATTGCATAATGTTCAAATGATTTTGAGGACGAACTGTCTGTTATTTTACAAATAGCGAAAAGATGTCTGTAATATCAAATAATAGTTATGAATAAATTGATATCTATAATCAATTCTTTGTTACGTATTGTTTACTTATTAATAAAAGATTAAACTACTTGAATTAACAAAATATTGCATATTCGCCTAGAATCTAGGTATGGGACTACTAAATGTAATAAAAACTCTAGGCAAAAGAGAACAGTCGTCGGGCACAGAATCCTTCAAAATAACCTATTGCAAATATTTGTGATACGTTTTAACATAAATGTTTTTCTTTTCACTCAGTTAATCTGTTTTATAACTTAAATGTTAATTATTTTCACGAATAAGATGTCGCACACATTTTGCCTGTTTTGCAAAAAAATATTTCCGCTGCGTCCGTAGCGCCAAAATAATCTACGTTGCGTATTTTAGTGATACCTCTTGTTCCCTGCCCAAATTTGGTTCTCGTCATTAGACTATAGACGGGTCTGTGTTGATGAAACCGCCTCTCTGATAGTGGGCAGGTTTAGGCTTTGTAACTTGTAATTTAATAATTCGTCAAGTTATATTGAGCATAGTTGTCCTGGTTCCCTCCCCCCCCCCCCCCGTCAACGAAGACTAAATTCTAGCATATTAAATTTGGCGACAATTTTAAGGCGGAAACGAACTTCAACAGAGGCGGAGCAAATGAAGTGAGTGACACTGCTTCAGTCGTCACCTCTCTCAACGGTTAACTTTTAGAACGATCGACTATAGACTGGCTCATCGGCACGTTATTTATAATGTAGATAGAATAAAAAGAATATGATATTCAAACATGACACTATCACTTCAGTTAAACGTTTATTTTGATCCCTTTTTCAGTGTGGCAATACCACGTGACATTGACGTCATTTTCGGCCTCATTTCCAAGACAAATGTTGCTCGATTCGGAAAAGAAAATAGCCGTAAATATTTTATTTCTGTACCAATTTCTTTGGGATATGCACCAGTCTACGGGGAAAAATATAAGCTTTCCATGGAATATTGGATCTTCGTCAGTTTATAAGCCGTTTTATCAAACACTTTGCATAACCTTGGAAGTTGCTTGTATTAGAGCGGGCTTCAGTTGCAAGCTATTTCGTTTTCTGGCGTTATCTGGTCTACGTCATGATTAAAAAGTCGGGTTTATATCAACCGGGAGTACGGAAGGCAAAACTCTACCTAAATATGTTCATATGTTTTATTATGAATGACATAAATCTTAAATTTTTCTTCAATTGTCAATTCTGGCACCAGTTCCAAGTCGAAAAAAGGACTACAGTTTAAAGCAGAGTTTAGAATCCGTTGCAAATGCAAAGCAACATGCCGACCGTTCTCTTTCTACAATTTAGTTTTTCATTGTTGATCTTTCACAGAGAGATTGTGAAAAAACTGATTGTTCCTTAAAGCAATTACACTTACTTGTATCGCAATAGTGCACGTCAAATCACGTAGATTTAGTCCTGTCGAAAAATAATATTTTGGTTTCGTTTTGAAGATGTTTAAAGTATTGCTCATTTTATCCTATGTAGTAAAATGTGTTTTATTCTATTTCACAATGGCGAAATTGATAAGAAATATATGTGCTCTCAGTGAGAGAAAGAGTTAAAATAAAAAAAAAACACTTTACACTTTAACGCGAGTGTTGTAAAGCTAAAGGTATTTTTTCAGTTTATTTTTGTAAAGAGTAACTGACAAACACTGACACTCGTGAATGTGACGAATAGGTTCTTCTGTCCTCAAAAGAGAGACTTTTAAAAGGTATATATTTTTTCTGGAATTGTTGTATAATAAATTTCTATAGAGTTCGATAAACGAAATCACAATTTGAACTTGGAACTTTGCCGTGTAAATCTGATGGTATTGTTACTTAGTTGCATTACTTGTGATTCTCTATTTATAAAAAAGACCCAAAATAGCCATGAATAAGAACGAGAATTGACGCCATGTGGAGTAAACAAAGTAGAAAATTGTAAACAGATAAATGATTTTACAAACTAACAGCCATCGATCACAGTCAAATTTCTTGAAACAAAACATTCAAAAAGACGGAAATAACAATGATCATCAATAATTATATAAATATTTACACTAACATCTGTAATAGCAACATCGGCAAGATCTATGACTGGGGTCCATATGCCACTGATGCGTCCATTGAATAATTGATAGCTAACATAAGCTTAGTAAAATTACGATTACATTTGAAGAGTATGTTCAATTTTTATCCTTCAACTGTCAAATGACTTACTTCTTTATTTACATATCAGATAATTCACTTATTTAGTATATGCGTTAATTATGTTTATCATGTTTTAGATTTCAATGTGTGGTCCTTTTTTAAATCTTAAAATGCTACAAAAATCCTGTTGAGGACATCTGCAGGTCATGCCACGTGCAATAATCCATGCATTTACTGCCAATGACCACATCGATAAGAAATAGTCCCTAATAGCCCTATGGTTTTTATTCAGTTGAAAGAGACATTA